TATATATATATGTACACATACACAGGTATGTGTGTGTATATATATAAGTGTATGTACGCAAGGATCTTCTATTGGGGCTCCTTTCAAAAGGGCCTTACGGGGCTAAGGGCTTTAGGGTTTAGGTTCAGGGCTTTAGAGCTTTCGTGTTGGATCCCATGTAATTTGTGCGTTCGACGGCCTTTGTGGTGTCGGGCTTCAGAGTGAGGACTTCCGGATTTTCGGATTTCAGATTTTGGGCTCTAGGGTCTGAGGCTTCCAGACTTTGGGCCGTAGGGTCTGAGCATTTCTGACCTTGGGCTTTAGGGTTTCGGAGCTTACAGCTTCACATCTTGATGCTTTTACTGCTTAAAAGCTTACTTAACCCCTTCTCAGCATTGGTCGACTTCAACAGCCCACTCAACCATGTGCTTCCAAGATTCCAGGCCATCTTCCTTATCGCGAGGCCAGTCAAACTCGGCGCTGTGGTTTGCGCCGTCCTTCATCAAGTGAGTTTAGAGTGTAGGCTCGGGTAATTGTGGAGCACAAAGGGACTACGGCTCTACCTATTGCAAGGCCAGGGGAGGACCCTGTCCAGCTTTGCGATGTGACTCCTGTGACGGTATTCCTAACCCCAGAAGCATACACTGCTAACGTCCTAAATCGCCTAAGCCCATAAGCCCGGAACTCTAAACCCTATACCGCGACACAAAAATACTAAATTCCCAAATCCTAAACATTCTGAGTCGCTGTAAGGTGAACTGCTAGTTGTTTCACCAGGCCAATAACAAAGGGGCCCTGATAAAGAAGCCTCTACGACTTGCAGTTTCGCGAACAGGCTTGTCAAGTTAGAAAGGGCTCAGGCTGAATTTTGTAGGCTTTCTGAAAAACAGCATGTGTTTTTTTAACCAAAACCTATGTTCAAAAAAACATAAGACTTATTGTCTTCGGAGTTCAGAGTTTAGCCAAAAACGTTGACCCAACAGCAAAGCCTGTCGGAGCTTAGGCTATCGAGCCCTCGGATAAGGCACCTTCTGACCGGCGTGGTCATCATCCGCTCCGTCGTAGTCGTCTCTATCTCTATAGCGCCATCACCGTCAACCCTCAAGGGGTGACCTATAGTCTCCGTTCTGCACTGTATTTCCGTGTTTTGCTTTACCAACTCTAGAGTATAGGAGTATGCTTATATAACTTGGTTACCAAAAGAAGAGCTACAATAGGGACCTAAGGTATCAAGAGAGCGAAATGGCACAGGGTCTCCGGCTCCGGCGCTAAGGGTTGCCTCGAACCCTGAAGACTAAAATCATTTGAAATCTAAGCCCTAAGCCCTAAACCCTCAAGCCGAAGCAGCAGTTAACTGACGAGCTGGACTTGTTGGGAGATTGCTTCTCTGGACTCCGTCGTCTGTTTGCTGGCGGGGAAAGAAGAAACCTCTGCTTGGGATGTACAATCTAGGGTATATAGGGTTTAAGGTCTAGGGTTTTAGGTGTAGGGTATACAGCACGCAACCCACATGGTTGTAACGCAACACTGCCTCTGCTCCCTGCCACCGACAAGTAGGTTTCGGCCTTGAGGTCGTGAGGCTCCGAGATCTGAGAGGTTGAGTTCTGTTAGGGTATAACTCAACTTCGGAATCAAATGAGACAGGTAAAAATACCATCTTCTATTTGCTGAAGATCTTTGCCACGACCATCGATGGCAGCTACATTTTCGCTGTTCACATTACTAGCTCTCGTGCGCTCGAAGAGCCCTTCCCGGTCCTTGCGCATGGCCGTCTGCAGCAGCGGGCATTCTTCCGGCTCGGTCAGGGCAGTGCTAACCGGTGCCAAGGTCAGCAGGCGCACAAAGCGGATGCCCATCTTTCTGTTTTGTGAACGCTAGAACGATTGCATGTTAACGTTTTTCTGCGATCGACAAGTTTCTGCAATGAAAACACTTGGCCAAGAAGCCCTCAAGCAAGCATGAACCTCAAACCTTAAGTCCTAAACCCTAAGCCCATCTAAGCCCCGAATAAGATTCTTCCTCATTCTACCAGCCTTGTAATTATAACGCTGTATGCCCGACTTTGAAGACCATATTTTGTGTAGAGTCGCGACACAGACATGAGTGGGATTCGGTAGCTCTTGGACCCGCAAGCAGCGCAAGGTTTCGGGCTTAGGTTTAGGGTTTAGGGTTTAGGGTTTAGGGGTGTAAGGGTTTAGGGTTTAGGGTTTAAGTTTAGGGTTTAGGGGTGTAAGGGTTTGGGTTCAGCTTAGGGGTTTAATTACAGAGCGATGAGGTGAAGTTGGAGCGGTGCGAGGATTGAATTGAGCGAGGCCCAGTTCTGAATCCTTCGCACTCCGGATCCGTAGTGTAGGGTTTGGCGATTGCAGCGGGCAGTGCAGACTTCAATGAAGCCTTAACAAACCCGGAGCCCTAATGTAGAGATCGGGAGGTTTCGTGTGTCTGTCTCAACACGTCTGTGGATCAGCAGACGGAGGTGGGGTTCAAGCTGCATCCTATCAGACAGAATTCTAGAAGATGGAACAAAACGGATGCTAAGCATTGGACCAACCAACATATGTGCAAGTATGAGATAGAAAACGCTGGAAAAGGAAGGAAGGCATGTAGCCAGGAGAAGCTTGTCAAGGAGGCCTCAGTTGAATGCCTGGCGCCCCAAAGCCCTAAACAGCAAACCCTAAAACCCTAAAACCCAGAACCGAAGAAGTTCACAGAACCGAAGAAGTTCCACAAAAAGGACCCGAGTGGAGAGGCTTTTGGCTGGCGCTTCAGAAACTGGACGAGGCCGTCTGAGACATGTCTTCGAGCCGAAGCCCTCCACACCAAAACGTTAGAGCCGTTAACGCCCAATAACATGTTTACCCATAGGCCCCTAAGTAGTTCCTTTTTGGGATTACCTTATAGGTTTATAGGCATTTATAGGATTCTAAATATAAACCAGAAAAAAGGAACTACTTAGGGGCCTATGGGCAAGAGCCCATTGGACTGGTGCCATCTATTTATACGTACCAGAACGACAGTGGAATACAGCCTGCAAGAAGAACCCAAACAAGCACGCTGCATGCTTTGGACACAAGTTCACTCACAGTCTGTCAACCCGGAAGGCTAAACATCGGTCAGAGCCCAAATCCAAGCCTCAGGGCTCAAAACAGCCCCGGACAGCCTTACACAGTGTGGTTGGTCTCTGGGCCAAGAAGCCTCAGACCTGAAAATGTGAGGTCCCCAGAGCCTTCTGGAAAGCCTACAGTTCCTACACCCTAAACCCCTCAAACCTAAAGCCCGAACCCTGGACCCATCGATGCCCAGCGGCAGCTGCGCGACCCACCGAAGAGGCCGGCTCTTGATGGCGATTCCTTTCAGACGGAAGCCATCCTGATTTCAAAGGGCTCGTAGGTGTCGAAACTGAATAAAGACTAGTCCTGGTAGATACAAGGAATCCTTACTCCTACCTAGCTTCATCCCACCTTGAGGCCTGCGAGCCTTTCACGGTTTCTACGGGTTTGGGGCTTTTGGGCGTTGTAGAGTTTGGGGGCTTTGCGGCTTTACGCCTAAACCCTAAACCCTAAACCCCTAAACCCTAAACCCTAAACCCCTACACCCTAAACCCCCTAAAGCCCCTCTTCTTCGGAAGCCAGGGTTCAGGTTGAGACTGAGCCTCCAGGAGTTCGACTTGTGCGGCTAAGGGTAGACAGTTTTAGAGGCTCGGGTCGAGGTTTAGGGTTTTGGGGGTTTAGGGGTTTAAAGTTTAGGGCTTTGGGGGTTTAGGGGTTGAGGGTTTAGGGTTTAAAGTTTAAGGGTTTAGGGGTTTAGGGTTTAGGAGCTTTGGGGTTTAGGGCTTTGGGGGTTTAGGGTTTAAAGTTTAAGGGTTTAGGGGTTTAGGGTTTAGGAGCATTGGGGTTTAGGGCTTTGGGGGTTTAGGGTTTAAAGTTTAAGGGTTTAGGGGTTTAGGGTTTAGGAGCTTTGGGGTTTAGGGCTTTGGGGGTTTAAGGGTTTAAAGTTTAAGGGTTTAGGGGTTTAGGGTTTAGGAGCATTGGGGTTTAGGGGTTTTAGGGTCTAGGGATTTAGGGGTTTAGGGTTTAGGGGAGGGGTTTCCTAAACCCTCACCTCAACCCTAAACCGGCTAGGATGGACGGCGTAGGGTTTTCTGGGTCCGATTTTGAGCTAAGACTTCTGCAGCTCTGAACCCTAAACCCGACTCCCCAAAAGAGGTGTCTAGTGCATGCCTGAGCGAAGATGCATCCTAGTGGTTTCGGCTTAGGCGTTTGGGGTCCAGGTTCAAGTGCTGATTAGCTGGGGTGGTTTAGGGTTTAGAGCAGCGCATCATTCAAAACTTTGGAATTCCGAAAACTTATCCCCATTGAAGAGGTTTACATCTTGCACCTGATACGGCGCAGCCCAACACGCCACAGAGGTAGCGGCACCTCAAACATACCAGGACCCTCCAACAAGCCTTTCCCCATCCCGAATACAAACAACAAGGAGTGCACGACCATGCGAACCCTAAATCGAGGGAGGTCTCGGTAATCGGTACACCCCACATTGCAAGCAAAGCCCAAGCTCTCATCCAAAGCCCGGAAGCCGACATCCTTAACCCCAAGACTAATCCCCAGAAACAAGACCCTACACTCTAAGACCATAAGCCAGAAACCCCCAAAAAACACTAAACCCTAGGAACTCACAAACCCTATAAGACCCGGAACCTCAAAATCGCTTTTTCGGGCACAGGGCCTTGGCGTCGATGCCCATGTCAGTTAGACCAGGAGCTTTGTCCCTTAGCTGCGAAGGCCTCTTAGGGTTTGCTCCAAGCTTTGAATAGCGTTTAGGGTTTAGGGTTTAGGGAGGGGTTCACTACCTTAACCTACCAAACCCGACTTTTGGAGGGTTCCTATGAACCCATACTTTGCTCATAACAGGAACCTACCAACACGACTTTAATAGTTCAGGGAATTCCATACAACCCCCAACCTTCACCGCTCCAACCCTTGCACCCTAAAGCTGGAAACCCCAAACCGAAAGCTCTAAAGTCCCAACTCTAAACCCTACCGGGTACCTGGACCCTGGCATAGCTACCTTCTAAAGGTAAGCCCTAACCCTGAACCCGAAGCCCAAACACGATTGCTCCGGAGGCAAGCCGTCTTGACCAAGATGCGGGGTTTGGTAGCGGGAGTCCAGGACCACCATCTGGCATTTTTAGGGCTGCGGTGCGGATTCTATAGAGCGGAGCTCTGCGCGGATTCTGGCTTTATGATCGCAGTTTCGGAATGCATGTGGGGCTTAGAGTGTTTGAAGTTCGAAGATGGGGTTTGGGCTTTGGGGATGGGTTTCAACAAATCCTGCAATAGTAGGTCTGCCCCCATTCTTTTGGGGTATATGCCCTTACAATCAACTTTGATGCGAAAGCCATGCTACCGCTGAGACCACTACATGGGATGGCCTATTGAGTAGCATGTGCCACTCCCTGACACGTGTATACACCACGAGGTCTCAAATCCATAAAGCCATAATGTGACCATATGGGGGGGTTTCCGAAACTAGGGGACCCTAATATAGTACCCCTAAATCGTAGGATCCTAATTATAAGGACCCCAAGATAAGGTACTCCTAATTTTCGGAAACCCCCATCTTTATAGTTGTCCCTAAACCCTAAACCCTAAACCCTATAAACCCTACAAGCCCCATAAACCCCAAAAATAAGGTACCCCCCCCC